AGGAAAGGTATACGTTTTTACATGAGAGGTTAGGCTTTTTATGTCATCCATTGTGCTCAAGCTGATAAGTCAGTCAGTTTGAGCCAATTTTACAGATGGATTATGAAAAAGAGAGCGAGTTTGATCCTATTCAACCGATCTTCATCATACTTAAGTTGAGATATGACCTGGAAGCTGTCGTCTGGGAAGATTTCAAGCAGCTGGAAAACTCACTCATCTGGAGTGACAGTCACAATGTAATCGGCTTCACAATACGATCTTATGATAAATGTAACTGATGCGATGTCCGACTGTGTGAAGTCTGACTTGCGTCTGGCGTGAGATCAGCATAAGCGTAACACAGAAAAAGTGGCGTGAAAGACCTAGCCAAATACTATGCTTGATTTAATTTCTACCTGGCTCGGTTTATCCTCGCCACTGATATACGGGCAGAAAATTAAGAACGAGTGAAGTAGGTGCCGGGTAAGCTTTCCTTATCATAATCCATTTCACCTGAATGGTTACATCTCCCCTCCTTGTTGGCAATGGTGCTCGGGATATTCAGCAAGGGAGCCTGTCAAATTTTAGAATGGCACCATTTAAAACTTGTGTTTATGCACAGTTTTGGAGCGTAAAGCCTTAACCCGTGGTGTGTGGATGCCAGATAATCTGTTAGCACTAAAGCCAATCAAATCATCCAGACTCAAAAAAGATCAAAGTGGCCAATAGAAACCAGTATTGCTGCAGTACCACCCCTCTTTGAATTAGCTCAGGTGGTCGAGAAGTATCATTAGAACATCAAGATACGATAAGCATGAGGAGGCCGGACATAATGACTCCATCCGTGCCTTACCTGCAGGTCACTGCTGTCCAAACTGTCACAATTTCCTTCTGGGTCCTCGATGACTTCAACGAGATCCAAAAAGCGGTTCAGAAAGATGAAGGCCATATTGTCCCAGCCTTGCTTACGACACTGCATGCCCGCCTCGTAGAAGGCTTTGTCTGCTGGAATAATGTCACAGTCCCGCAAGAGCGAAACGGTCACTTTGGTTACCAGCTAGATAAGGGGGTCAAAAAAACAAATCAGATTACTGAAAGCAAATATCACGGTTTAATTTTGGGCGTTTGTAACACCCAACCCGAAATCCGTCTGACTCCAGAAGAAACCTTCATAAGTCGTGTGCAGTATATGAAATTATAAAGAGCACACTGGAGCATATTTTGCATGTGGCGAGGGGACTCTTATCAAAGCAGGCTCCTTTAGGACAACATTTGAAACTTGGAAGAGTAATAATGAGGGCCCGGATCCTTTTTAGTTCACACTATTTGCTAGGCATTTTCAAAAATTTACGCAGAGGAAATATTATTACATTTCAGACTTATCCAGTGGTTAGCGCACGCGCGTTGGCAGTTGTTAATTCCACCAAAGGAATAATTTGATAAAGATGCAATATTAGTAGGCAGATTATCAGGAAGTAAGGGGAATTTGAAACAGGGGTGCCTGGATTAAAAGGTACCCTTCTGGCCACAAAAAATCTGATTCCTTAACCAGAATGCAGACGGAAGTCGTGGAACGTTGAGGAACAGCACAAGGAACCTTCCCATTTTGTGCAAAATTCTGCATCAAAATTTATGAAAGTTATAAAATTTGGCATGTTTTGGCAGAGACCGTCAATCACACTTTATTACAGACGCCCAAAATACCCTCTGGTAAAGGTGTTCACTCGAAAGATGGCCTCTACAAATGTTGAGAAAATGACTATGATAACAAAATGACCGTAAGCCTAGTCTGGCATAACTAGAATTCTGGTCTAAGACATTTGTAAATTTAACCAAATGATCGAATGTTTAAATATTACTTAATTTTAGACAACGTATTTAAGATCCACTACTTTAAATATCTACAGCAGCTGCCCACGCTACAATAATAGACAACCCTCTGAGTCTCTCAACATTTCAGTTTGGAAAAGTTGTTCTGACAGCTATTCTTACACGAATTATCACTCTTTAATTCCAACACTTATAGGCTATTTCCCCGTCAGATATTGAAAACTGGAACTCGTACCAGCTAAATGACTCCTCTGGACGTATAGTAAAGTTTCTGATAAATACGTACGCTGTAAAATCATCCTGATAGGTTAGTAACGTAACACGGATAAGAATCTATTGCACTGCAATATTATATACATTTTATACGTGAGTAGCGAGGTGGCTGAAACAAGTTTTTGAGAAAACAAAAGTGTTATTTGGTGGACCAGTATTAAGTGATCGGATAATCAGCTGGAGCGAATATTGCACAAAGAAGAAGGAAAGGTAGAGGAAATTATTTAATAATGCTTGTTTACCAGGTAGAGTTAGCATGGCCTTTTATAGTAGTGAGGTAGGTTTACGAAACATCAGAAGCATCCTACATACTCGTCACATATTCAACATTCACATGGACTGTGATGTATCTCGGTCACACAAACTCCCATCCGTCCTCGATTGTCACCGTGAAAATTCCAAGCGATAACAAAGTTCGCTCCCTACTTTCGAAGAAGGGGACTTTTACACATGTATATGTTTACCTCTAAATTAAATAGAATTTTATAAATCCCTCGTCATTCGGTATGGCTCTGCACAAACGTTTCAAAATTTCTTCAAGTAGGTCTGCTCTCAAGGTGTGTGTTAAACAAGGGAAGTCGACTTAAGAAGAATTACCTCAGATTGTCTCGCAGAGATAAGCGCAGAACGTATGGCATAGAGATGAGCAACGGTAAGCATGCGCTCGAAAATGGCAATAACTGTAGGTTGCACCTTTACTGGCGAGTCAGGCGATACGACTCTTTGATTCAAATCAAACAACACATCTCTAAGTGTGGCCCAGGTCGTATAGCCATCAGCGCTGAAGAGGTCCCGCTGACTCGTAATTTCCTACGAAGGAGAAAGAAGCGAGTGTGACGCACAGTCAAAATTGTTACTCGGTTTAGTTAGTTCTGACAAGGTGATGTCTTAGCCGAGAAGGCTGCTTAGACTCACCTGAAATATTCTTTTGTAAATGTTGAAATTTTGAGTGTACGGCGGAGTGCCATGGTTCTTGTAGAGCAGCAGGGCATCATAGGTGCGAGCATCTTTAATGAGAGCAG